CTTTTAGCTGTGTCCAAAACTGCTGTGATGATCCCTATTCTTCTTTTAGCTGTGTCCAAAACTGCTGCGATGATCCCTATTCTTCTTTTAGCTGTGTCCACAACTGCTGTGATGATCCCCATTATTCTTGAGCTGTGTTCAAAACTGCAGTGATGATCCCCATTCTTCCTGTAGATGAGTCAAAAACTGATGTGATGATCCCCATTCTTCTTGTAGTTGTGTCCAAACCTGCTGTGATAATCCCTATTCTTCCTGTAGCTGTGTCCAAATTCATGTCTGCTCCATATGGCAGCTATAAAGCATTAGGTAATGCAGGATACAATAGAACTACCTCATGTCACACCTTCAAACCTGAATTAATGGACCCAAACATAAAGAAACAAGATAGCCTTGTTTTAGAGTTACACTAATGTATAGAGTATTTGGATATGGAACATGATATAAGCATTTGAAGAACTAGCAGGATTCTCATAAATAAAAGTAATATTAAAGAAGAAGTGAATTTGTACAAAAACGGAAGTTATCTCGGTAAAACTTAACACCACATATAATGAGATAACGAGAGTTGTTAGCTTTGTGTATTGTAGGTAGAAGAAAAGCCAGTGGGTTTACAGAATCAACAGTGTAATTTCAGTACTACAATTGTCTAATGTTTCAGAGTAAAAATGCAAACTGCTAAAATTTTGTTTCTGTAAGTCTTAGAAGAGAATTTTTTTTTTCACAATAGTTTTGTTTTCTGCCTATAAGGTTTTACCTGGTAATCTTGTTCATAATGAACTACAGACCTTTAATTAGCAGGTATAATCATGATACATCAGATAATTGTCAAATGTAGCAGCTTTTCTTTGTTTAGAAAAAAGGCTAGAATGATGCAAATAAGAATTTTAGTTCATGTTGTTGAATAAATCGGTTTAGACGTATAAAATTTAAATTTTCCCTGCTTTCCTTTAAATCTTGTTCCAATGCTGCCAGTCCTGATGAATGCCTATCCATAAGTGAAGGAATTTCATGTTTATTTGTCATGTGAAACTCCTATTCGAACTGGGCATGCTTTAATCCTTTTTTCTTGGAAAAGGTATCAGCACATATAAATAAGTTTCATATTTTCTTCCGTTAATTTATTTTAGTCTTAATATTTTTAACTTACGAGTGTGTAAATTTTGACTTAAAACTTTTCTGAAAGATTATTCCTTGTATTTGTCTATTATATATGTAATTGTTTTGTACTTCTTAACTTTTTATGTGAGTTTTGGTTGGTGAGTACCTTTATAAATTTTAGAGTATACTCTTACGTAGATTGTATTTTCTTTTACCAATTTTGCAATATATATTTTTCTTCATTGTAAATTTTATAATGAAATAATGTTTCAGCTAGCTTCAAATGCATGAATTGTAACTAACACTATAAATTAAACTCCATGCATCTTTCAAGGATTTTTACTAGTCTTTCTAGTGTTTATATAATTTTATCCTCTATTAATTTTATCTATATTTTCTGTTTATATTTGCCAAATTCTCAATTGTTTTCAGATAATTCCTAAGTCAAGAATTGCTGTTCATCCAGGAACTGACACTATTTTTTGGGCAGAAGGAAATAGCCTGTGGAAACAGGAGTTTTCTGGAAAAGCAAAGAAACTGTTACAATTAGGTTAGTACATGTTGAGAATGTGATCAAAGAAACTATTACAATTAGGTTTGTACATGTTGAGAATGTGATCAAAGAAACTATTACAATTAGGTTTGTAAATCTAGTTGTAATAGTTTCTTTGGTCACATTCACAATGTGTACTAATCTAGTTGTAATAGTTTCTTTGGTCACATTCTCAATGTGTACTAATCTAGTTGTAATAGTTTCTTTGGTCACATTCTCAATGTGTACTAATCTAGTTGTAATAGTTTCTTTGGTCACATTCACAATGTGTACTAAACTAGATGTAATAGTTTCTTTGGTCACATTCTCAACATGTAATAACCTAGATGTAATAGTTTCTTTGGTCACATTCTAAATGTACAAACCTAATTGTAATAGTTTCTTTGATCACATTCTAAATGTACTAACCTAATTGTAATAGTTTCTTTGGTCACATTCTCAACGTGTACTAACCTAATTGTAATAGTTTCTTTGGTCACATTCTCAACGTGTACTAACCTAATTGTAATAGTTTCTTTGGTCACATTCTCAACGTGTACTAACCTAATTGTAATAGTTTCTTTGGTCACATTCACAACATGTAAAAACCTAATTGTAACAGTTTCTTTGATCACATTCTAAATGAGTACACATTGAGAATGTGACCAAAGAAACTATTACAACTAAGTTAGTGACCAAAGAACTATTTTCTTTGACCTGTAGAAACAAGATTGCAGCTGCATGCTATTGAGATAGTCCAGCTATCTGCAAAATATAATACAAAAAGGAAGCTTTTAAAAGTGGTGTAGTTGGTGAAATTGGAATAGGGATAACCTTAAAAATTATATAACTCATATCAGTTTTCATATCACATAGCTGTGGAGACATTTTACTTGAGTTAAAAAAGTTTACTGCTCGAAATAGTTAATCAGGCAAAGATAAATAAGAACAATCAACAGGTAAATATTATTTTAAAAAATACAATTAATTTAAAAGTAGACATTACAAACTCAAGATTATTACCATCACCATCAACTTTGCCCATAAACTTCATAAAAATTCTCATTCTAGGTTTAGAAAATTCTATTGGTATTGTTGAAAAAGCCCTCAAAATACTGGGAACTGAACACGACCTTCCTGAGCTGCTGTAGTGATCTTGGATTTTACATTCTACAATTTACTGAATCACTTCCCGTGGCCACCTTTCACCTGGCTAGCTACCCTGCTTTCTTTATATATATATACTGGTTGATTTTGTATATACTCTCTCATTGCAAATTACCATCAGATGTTGTGACAGTTACCTGCACGTTTAGAATTTAATTTTACTATTATATGTATTCTTCTGGTATTATTGATTATTATATGATGTTTACTTCCATTGCAGCTCAGAGACAAATCTTATCTGTAACAGTTCATTCACCTTCCCAGAATTTGTACTTGTCATCAATGGTGGACGACAAGGATGGTAATGTCACCTATTATATCTCAGTCTGTTCTGTAGAAGGGGAATTTTTTACCGATATTTTTTTTGTTTTTTTTCAAACAATACTTATCACTCATCTTCAAACATTGTGTTTTTCAAACAAGTGCATGAAGTGGTGTAATTTATACAAAACAAACATAGCAGTATAAACAAGAAATATAATGAAAGAAACTTACACATTGCGATCATCTGTTTTTAAAACAGATACTCGACAAAGATCTTTTGCCACGAACCTTGCAGTGTGACAAATTAGTATGTCACTTACATATATTATCAGTAACCCTTCAAAGCTATAAACAGATAAATAACAAATTTAAAAAATAATTAAATATTTATTCAAACTGAGGTAAAATTTTATAGGAATATGAAATCAACACAAAGTAACTTTCTAAACTTGGCAAATAATGCATAGAATAGTTAATTAATATATGGTGACTTGACATGTGTCTATGTGGGGGTATAATTGTTTGTGTGTATCTTTTTCCAGAAGATTGCTGTGGCTACATGTCTGTAGCAAGTCTGCAGGTGCTACAGATCTTTATATTTTAGAGTCCTCGCTACTAGACGGAAGTCAGAGAGAAGTTTTGTTTCAATCTGAAGAAGAAATATTGGAAGGTTAGTTATTATTGTTGAGTATTAAGTTTCCAAAAAATATTATGGACTAATGGTGTATGTTACAAACTTTAATAAAAAAACAGTAAAATATAACTGTTATAATTCAGAACGGTGTATATATATACCACATAAAAACTTTAAACCCAGTAAAATATAACTGTTATAATTCAGAAAGGGATATATATACCCCATAGGAACTTTAAACCCAGTAAAATACAACTAATAATTCAGAAAGGGATATGTACTCCATAGAAACTTTAAACCCAGTAAAATATAACTAATAATTCAGAAAGGTATATGTACTCCATAGAAACTTTAAACCCAGTAAAATAAAACTAATAACTCAGAAAGGGATATGTACTCCATAGAAACTTTTAAACCCAGTAAAATAAAACTGTTATATTTCAGAAAGGGATATGTATTCCATAGAAACTTTAAACCCAGTAAAATACAACTAATAATTCAGAAAGGGATATGTACTCCATAGAAACTTTAAATCCAGTAAAATAAAACTAATAATTGAGAAAGGTATATGTACCCCATAGAAACTTTTAAACCCAGTAAAATAAAATTGTTATAATTGAGAAAGGGATATGTACCCCATAGAAACTTTAAATCCAGTAAAATAAAACTGTAATCATTCAGAGAGGAATATGTACTTGTAAGAAAAATCCAGTATGATAAAGCTTTTTTTAAATTATAATAAATAATTTAAAACAACATTTTGTATTTACACAATAAATACTTTATTGAAGCTGTACGGCTTCTACTTTGAAATAGAAATATCACTCTACATGTACATGTTTCGACGTGAGCTCCGTCATCCTCAGGAGTAACTTACAATACTATTTTATACTTTCCCCTTGTTGCACTACTTCATTGTTATTTCCATATTTTCTTGGTGTAATATATATATATATATATATATATAAACAACAACGTTGTTTTAATTATTTATTATAATTTAAAATTTTAAACACAATGCCAGTAGTGCATATGATAAAGCTTATTTAATTGCTCCAATAGGCCATTGTAATATCAACATCAAAATTAATAATAAAAAAATAAAATTTCTTAATTTTGAGAATTGATATGGTCAAAAGTATTATATTATATATATATTTTTTTCATGTTAGTAACTCTGTGAAACCTGTTTTCAGACATAAGAAGTACTGAAATAATTTATGGTGATATGTTATAGAAGAAGCACAAAGAGAAACTTTTGGTGATAATTTTGTAGCCTGATAGTTTGTACTAATGGATTAGAAATTTTCTTAAAAAACGAAACCTGCAGATATACTTGTTTAAACTGAAACTTTAATGAACTAAGCTTGCTGATATCAATCATCAAAAGCTTCACAATTCATTAGTTTGGGAGAATGGAATAGCTGAAGAGTCCTGCTATGTTTTAACATTTTTGCAAGCTATTGAAGTGTGGAATAGCTAAAGAACAGTGCTAAGTTCTATTATCCTTCCAAACTGTTTGCCAAGTGTTCATGTTTCAGTTTTAACTTCTTCAGAAATAATTTAGTCAAACTTTTTTGTTAGATTAATAAAGATTTAATGACATCCAGATGTGTGTTAAAACAACACTGTAATTTTTCTTCTAGACTTGAGCCTAACAGAGGAAAACACCAAAAGATGTTTGATTTTTGCTTCAAATATGTCTGTTGTTTGTAGTCTTTCTAATGTTACATGGATGATTGAAGCAAACCTTTCCACTTCATCAAAGAAACCCATAACATCATTTGCTTTACAAGGAAATCATGTATTTTTTACATCAAATTCTAATGCTTATGACATTTGGCTTACTAAAACTTTGGCTTCAGTCTCTTGGCCAGTGTTCTCAGTTGATGTGATTTCAACCTCAAAAGGTAATGTCTTCATTCTGTAGATCTACATAACAGAGTAGGATTTTATTTCAGTCATTTAGAATGGCTGGTAGCTTTAACTCTAAGGTAGAGAAAATGTATAAGGGTTTAAGAAATCACGTATTAAAATAAAAAGAGCCTGCTTTTCTGTGTGGGTTAGTAATTGAGTTTTGTGTACTGGTGCTTTCAAATTGGATTTGTGCATCATTATTTTCATGAGCTTGTGTATTGCTTAGAATATTGTTACATCTCATACATGAAAATACTGTCATTTGTATCCTAGGAAGCTTCATTTACTATGATTTTACAGATTCTTAGATGAGGTATAGTCAAATTAACATAGAATTTCCAATATGGTAACTTACCTCCTTTCACATAATAGCTATTCTCGTTCAGTGCTGCCCTCTATATGAAAATTTTTTGCGTGCCACATTCCTTGAAACTCCCACCTACTCCACGATCAACATGGTTCAGTGCATCTTTGCATTTAAATCATCATGCAACAACACTCCACCAGTAGGAATGTGACACAACCTCATGACTTGTGATTCCCTCTATTCGATTCTACCTAACCATCACTTCTCGTTAGGCAATGGTCTTGTGCAGATATTTCATTTATCATGAATTTATTATCTCTTTTCGAAGTAGTGCTTTCAAGTTTTTACTAAATTTTTTTTCTGTCTAGTTTCTTC